TTTTTTTTTTTTTTTTTTTTTTTTTTTTTTTTTTTTTTTTTTTTTATGATTTCGCATAATGAGGATACATTCGTGAGCATGTGTCGATAGAGATGAGAGCGTATTATATTATTTAGTAGTATCCACAAAATTTGAATACATAATGAGAAAAGCGACATTTGTTATAATATGCGAATGGCTGAAACGAAATGATATAAGAACAAAATTTGTTGCAATTTAAAGGACATACGATTTTATTTTTTTGATGAGTTGTGTCTCCGTGTTTTATTTTACACGAAATTAGCAAGCGCAGTTTATTTATTTATGTTGAGCAAAGTTAATTAAAGCGAGTCAGTAGCTTGAAAACAGAAACAACTCGTGTCTATTCGTAAAACGGCATTTTGGCTATTGTACCATTCGATGGTATTGTGACATGAAGAGTTTCATGAGAACTTATGCGCTAATAATTTAAAACATAATGGACTGATAATGATTAAGTCTTTAATTTTTGTGTTATCAACTTTTCCGTTTCATTTGTTCTATTGACGAAAGAGGGATAAAAAAAGAGATAAGTTTTCCATGGTGGATAAGATGGTAAATATTTACGGAATAGATAGATACGGCTTTTAACAGTTTCTTAGAAAAATTTAAGATTCCCTCAGCTCAACTGCCACTTATATAAATATGTTACACACATTATTAATTTATCATGTTCACATTAATTACATTACATAAAAATATACATATAGATATATGCTACTTATAAATATATAAATATATATATATATATATGTACAGTTTATATATATTTTAAATTAAAAAGTAATGCAATCAAAAAAGCGTTCGATTCATATAAATCTAAGATTCCTTTTTTTTCTTTTTCTAGATAGACAAATTACTTCTTTATACTTTAATTACTTCTTTTAGGTTCGGTTTTTCATTTTCTGGTTTATGATTAGATTTGAATTTGATAATAAAAATTGTATTTTTTTAAAGCTGTAATTAATCACTGGTTTTATAAATTCAATTTTAAAAATTTATCAAATATAAAACCATCAATTTAATAATTAACGATAATTAGAAAAATACAATTTTTTTTACATTTACTTTAAATACTTACTTTAAATACTTTTTCTTTATATTATCGTCAGGTTAAGTCTAACTACAAGTTAACCAGAAAAATGAAAATTGTATTTTAAAGATTTGATTCGATAACTGTGAGAATAAAAATATTTAATAATAGTTTGTTAAAGATTACATGTTCATTATAAAATAATGTTACACAATTTTGGGTACTGAATATATTATTTCAAAATAAATGCGTTTTATAAATCAGAAAATATCAATTTTACCAAAAAATTCCAGTTATCTTATGGTTAGTAGTATCAGCAAAATATTTTCGTATTATCATCACTTTTTTTGATAATTGAGTTCGTTCTTGAATCGTTTTGTTACAAACAAATGTTTCCATCTTGTACCTTCCGGGTAAGACCATCGCATAATGCACTTGTTCTTAAGCTGAGTTGAAAATCCTGGACGGTTAGGCAGTAGGTAAGCAGCGTTTCTAATAAATACAGGATCTTCAAAGTATCCGTGCTGATGACTTCTGTATTCTATTTTAATATCCGTGAATTCACTTAAGCAAATAAAATTCCACATTTGGAGATGTTGAATCATCTCGCCCGAGCCAACTTCACCAGCATGTCCCCACACTGGTACTATAAATAAAATAAATTCGCATTTCGTTTCACTAAGCAAAAGATCACTCTGAATGATAAAAATCTAAGAATATGATTATCACAAATTTACTTGAATGCTTTTTTGCCATAAAGTATACGGCTAACGCTTCGTTAATTCCACCGAGCCTGCCTACATTAATGTTCCAAAAATCGATTCCACCAAATTTCAAGAATTGCTTGAATAGGACGCGATTTGCGCACGTTTCGCCGCAACTCACTTGCACTGAGTACTTCAACTTTTTTAGTGCAGCTCGTATCGCAACGTGTCCCAGGACATCGTCGGGAGATGTCGGTTCTTCTATGCAATAGGGACGCATTTTATTGAAACCTTTCACAGAAAAGATTGCTTCGTGCTTGTCCCAGAATTGATTCGCATCCACTATCAATATCTTGTCACTACGCTTGCCTATCACATTTCGTATGAGATTACACTTCTTCCAGCTCACGGGGATAGTCGGGCCTACATATATTTTATACTCCTTAAATTCTAGTTTCTTAAATTTTTTACAAGCACTTCTAAATTGTTGATTGCTGAAAGACCATCCGATGTCGGCCGTATACGCTGGATGTCCTTTACTTTCTAATATCTTCTTCCTTTTCTCTTTACCCGACTGATCTTTCTTGAGCATTTCTATCGCCTCCTCCTCGGTCACCACATCTCTACTATAATAAAAAATATATATAAAAAATTTCAAATATTTAATATAATAATTTAATATAAAATATTAGTATTCGAGTGTGTGTGTGTGTGTGTGTGTGTGTGTGTGTGTGTGTGTGTGTGTGTGTGTGTGTGTGTGTGTGTGTGCGCGCGTGCGTGCGTGTGTGTGTGGTTTTTAAATGCAATTGTGGCATAAACAACGCCACATGACAGATTTTAGTTTACATATATCTAAAATCCACAGTAGAAACGAGTTGTTCGGGTGTCATATCAGTCAGCAACTTCCAGACGGGTTTATCCTCAATACGTGCCCATAGATCCCATAAAGCGTTCACGATAGCTGCTGTAGCTAAATGTACCACACCGCATTCCGCTCCTAGCTAAAATATATAAATCATACCTTGAGTCATTATATATTAATTAATATAATTGATAGACACATGATTTGCTTTATTGTATATATATTACCCATCGAAATTCCACGTCGGTTGTTAATTGTCTCCAAAATGATGCAAAATTGGAATAGATTTCTGTGGTCGTTCGTTTCTTTACGTTTCTGAACAGAAGCTTGCATGTTTGCACCACTATAAAATTTATTATCGATATAATGAAAACGAGAGAGAGAGAGAGAGAGAGAGCGAGAGAGAGAGAGAGAGAGAGAGAGAGAATAGTTAGTATTGTTAATACGTACCAAATTCATTTCCTCTTCCCAAAGTAGTTGCAATGCCATATCCTTTATATTTCGTGTTAGTGTGGATTATTACATACGTGCAGGCGTGATTGGGATTCGTATGCTGTTAAAAGTCGATTATATTAAATACAAGCCTCTCGATAATTCGAAAATAAAAAACGTAAATATTTTATTATGAAAATTAATGCAATGCGTACCATTGAATCATTTCCAAACTGCCACATTGATGTTGGAAATCTTACATCATACACTTCAATGTCAACGATTTCCGCCTCTATCATCTTTCTATATCGCTCAGCAACACGATATTCACAAACTGACGGTAATGACAATGTTCTGACTAAATAATGTTCTCCAGAAACGACCTCTTCCAAAATATATATATAAAAAGATTTTCTGTATGGCGTGAAATAAATATTTATGTTTACTTATAAGGACTCGAATCAAGAATTAGTTACTAATCACGTTAAAATCGCTCTTACAGATTATTCAAACATTTATAAAACATTCTTTCTTTGAATTTTTTGTGTATTTTATTTTTTGGTGCTTTCTATAAATATCTAAATATTACAAGGATAATTTTCATACAGAATTTTCTCGTTACTAAATGTATATTTAATGTATATAATTTGATTTATAGTTTATTATATAACTATTTATGATTCTAAAATGCTAGTTTTCGATTAAAATTTCAGAATCGCTACGCGGCAAGTCATTTCGTCAGGCTCATCCTCTATAAACTGCCGATATTATCATCGTTGTATTTCATTGTTCGCATTATTTTTAGATTTATTGTTGTAATGTTTACAATTAGTTTTGTTTATATAAGCCATATCAATTCAAATTCGTAAGCAATATACTTGAATCATTCCTTCGCCATTTGTACACCTATTAATATCTTCATTAAAAATTATAAAAGTTATAAATGTTACATATAATTAGTAACACAAGTACTCGAAGCCATTTACGCGATAATATAATATAATGGTATTATAAAAAATTGCAACGTCGTGATCAAATTATTTACTATAAAAATTGTTTACTATAAAAAGCAACGTTTGCCAATCCTGCTAATAACTAACGATTTTTCGAATGAGTCACTCTTGCAAGAAATAATCAAGTAGATGTATCATTGCGATAGATTTTGTTACATAAAAAAATATCAGAGTTTAAAAATGTTTAAAATACAAAGTAGAGATGTAACACAATAAAAAATTTTTTTTTCTGATATTTCACAATTAATTTAATCTATCAGAAGAAATGTGGTATTGACGTAAATGATCCATGGACGTAAATACGTGAAAAACAATTCGATGTATTTGTCAATTCTGTGCTAATTAAACGCTAAGGTTGTGCTAAAATTAGAAAAGTCTCTTTGAAAAGTAATTTGTTACCATTACGCGTTACTTACTGAAAAAAGTAATTAGTAACATTACTCGTTATAAAGTAACGAGTAAAAAGTAACGCGTTACAAATTAGAAGTTATTTTTTTCAGTAACCAATGACTTTTTCAATCCATTACAAGAAACGGTTGATTTTTCTAACTCTGATGTTAGCATTACCGTCATAAAAAAAATTCACAATATCATTACCAAATCGTTATTACAACAAGGTAATGACATTCCAAGTAACGCATTGCCAGCCCTGTTATTAGGAATGTATCAGAATAGGAAGTTGAAAATGCTACAGCGAGTATATGTGTTCATTTTCTCCTATTTCTTACAAGATATTTACTAACAGACGATAATCTAGAATTGAGAATACAGTATACGTATATGCGTCTTTCTAGACCTTCGACAAATCGCCAAGTTATACGAGAAACATGTTAAACGAGGAAGTTATCGGAATAATCAGCAACAATCAGGAATAATTCCTCCTACACACGCGTCGGATATAAACAAGTGCCATGCACCAGTTCGTTAGTGGGGGTTAACAAGCGTGGTTGTCATGGAAATCAGATGCACTACCGCGCTCCGATTGGATGTTGCGATTCTCTGGTGGGGAATCAGAAGCACGTGTATAACAGAGAGTATTCCGACAACCTCTTTGCTGAACATGTTCCCCACATAAATTTGCGATTTTTCGAGGGTCTAGAAAGACACGTGCATATATTTTCAATCTTTAGTTATCGTCTATCGGTAAATATTTCCTGAGAGACAGGACCGAGTTAAGCATTACATCTCCGTAACCTCCTGTCCGAATATGTACTTCTGATAACTTCAACGATTTTTCAACTGCTGAACTGTTCCGACTGCTCGTGAAATACACAGAGTGCTAGATTGACTGGTTGTACATACTGCGTATAGTATACAGTCAGAGAGAAACTTGAAAGAGGACCTTTTTCCTGTAACAGCAAATTGCTCCCGCACTATTGCCCTTTGAAGAAGTGAATATTTGAATATTCAAACAAGTATAATTTAAACCGAATTTTGTCTTATAATACACATCTTATATAATAATCTGCATAAAAATGGAATTACGAAGTTATGTTTTTTAATACAAAATTTTAGCCTTTTTTTACCAAACATAATTAGTGTGTAAATATATTTCAAATAAAAGAAAAAAAAAAAAAATTCTATAAATACTAATCACTAGCAATTATTACAGAATTTTGATTTTTGAATATACTTTAAACTCTTCAATAACATATCATTAAATTCAGATTTAATTTAGCAAAAACAAACTAGAGGCCCTCCATCACCCCCACCCATTTAATCGGTGGTCCTCTTTGTAAGTACATTATACTCGCCCATAAAAACGAACTATTAATAAATTTAGTCCGTTTTTGCAGATAAGTATATTTTTAATTTATTTTTTTACTTTTAAGTCTAATTATTTCTTTACTTTTTATTTTGTTATTTTTAAGTCTAGTTATTTCTATCTATTGTATTAATTTGATAATAGAATGTGTGCTGGCACATTTTTATTTAATGGCTCATCATGTCCAATATTTTTATCATTATTATGGACTTATTGCGACCGATATAATGGAAGAATATAACCGAATATTGACTGAAAAACATTGCATTGTTGTGGAAGATAATAGATATGAAGAAATACTATCAACTTTTTGCGTATAAATTGTATTTAACCGTTTTATTAATTTTGTTAAATTTGCGTTTAATTTCTTTACATATATACACTGAGGATGATCTAATAATAAGATCGAAACGTATGTTCTAAAAATTTGAAATACATAAAAATCTGGCTTGTAGTCTTTCTTGTTATTTATTTGTTTATTATTATTGAGTCATTATAAGATTATCTTTATCTAATTATTTTATTGTATTTTTCGCTAATCATAATGCAATAACATTTTTTATATTATCTTTTATTGTAATCTTTTATACAATTCAATACTATAATAATTGTTTAGAGTAATTGTAAAATATACAATTATAAATGCTGTTCAAAGAGATTTTGTCTTAATAAAAATGATATCGGAATCATTAGCATCCATTTGATGCGAGAGACAGCGATAAGACTTTTACGTACTATAATAAATTGATCACTAAAATCTTCTAACCTGACAATGGTGGTAAAATAGATTCAAACTTTAAAAATATCAATATTTGTATGATCCGTTAAACAATCATATATACATATCTCTGTAATTGAATTTTTATAAACAGTTTCTGCAAACGCTTCTTTACGTCGTTCCAAACCATCTGCGATTAGTTACTAATATTCCGTATACAGCGGTTATAATGACAGAGAATAGAAGAAATAGGAGACAATTTGATTCCAGCTCGTTACTGGATACGTGAATATTACACGAAATTGACAAGGAGTAACAAAGCAAGATACAATCATTGTAAAGGGAAATTCAACATAGATATTAGACACTTGGCTAGTTTACATAAGCACTTAATAAAGGCATACCCAGATAAATTAGTAGAAGAATAAAAGAAAGAAATTAAATTCCATTGAATTTGGAACTATTATATCGCAAAAAGTGAGGTAATATGCAAACAATGTAAAGCAATAGTCATATACAGCAAAGTAACTGACTTAAAAAGTATTCACAAGTAAGCATTCTTCATGTATACTAAAAATTAATATATGTACTAGAAAAATGAATACGATTTTCATAAAATAATCAATATTAACTAAAGATAATGCATAACGCAGACAAAAGAATTCATTTATTGAAAAATGTATCAAACATGAGTATCGCCAAATATGATATAAAATAGCATCTATTCTACACTATGTATACATACGAATTCTGTATTTTTATTAGGTACGAATCTCGGAATCTCCAATTTATCACTATGAAAAAAGCAAGTAACATTCGGCCATTCTAATTTTTTCAGGAATAATCCGATTTATAAAATATTTGGATTCTATTTGGGGTAGCTACAATGACTGCAACGACGGAATCCATAAAAATCATCATCGAAACGAATTTGTTCCTTCTCTGGAATTCTCTTTAGATACCAATGAAGGTCGCGAGGAGTATGTTCAAGCAGTATTCGGAGAATTGATCGACCGGTGAAGGTGACGAAAACGAATCTAGTATTGTGCAAAACAAAGCTTTAAAAAACGAAACTTTGGAATCCGAATAATATGAACATTCAAAAGATGTTTAAGAGATCTCTGAAGAATACAAAAAATATTAAGAACGTTTAGAGATCTCCGAAATATCTTTGATGATTAATTTCTTTTCAATGTTGAACAACTATAATTGATCCTTGATTTTCTTCAAGAATTACGATTAATGTTTATTTCTATGTTATAGATAAATTTTAATTTTGCTTTAATTTACCTCTTTGGTCGGTATTCATAGTTCATTCTAGACTTATTTCAAGATCATCAAGTAATGTTTTAAGGTGCTAAAACTTAACTTTGTGATTGACTTATGATATCTTTAAAAAAAAAGATAAATTTAAATATAAGAATCGATTATGAATGCCTTTATCTTCTTCTAATTCTTAAAATTAGAATTAGAATTAGAAAAAAATAAACAGTATGTTAGTCATTGATGTTTATATTATTTAAAAATAAATAACGATGATTTTTTTTTTAAATATTAATTGATGTATGAAACTTATATGTATATAATTTTATATTACAAAAAGATTAAAAATTTATAGAAAATATTATTTTTACATACTTAAATATCTACTTAAATAAATTAATAA